TGGTGGTGGTGGTGGTGGCACACACCTTTAATCCCAGCACTTGGGAGGCAGAGCCAGGCAGAACTCTGTGAGTTCAAGGCCGGCCTCGTCTACAGAGCGAGATCCAGGATAGGCACCAAAACCTTGTTTAAAAAAACCTAAATAAATAAATAAATAAATAAATAAATAAATAAATAGTTCCTACCAATGTATTTTTAAAGCACTTTGGTTTATGGCTTACTTTCTTCTGTAATTATAGAGGTTCATGTAACTACTTCCACATTAGAATATTTTACTCAGAGCAACTTAATCCATATTACTGAGTTATGGTCACTCATTTGGCTTAGGATAAATGACCTTTTATTACCTTTAAAATGAGATCTGTGGGGTTATATTTTGTTTGTTTTGGTTTTGTTTTTGTCTGAATGGCCAATAAATGCCTGTGCATCACTTATATGCTGTACTTGACAGGACTTTCATGAACACCTATATCAGTGCCTTTAGGCATATTGCAAATGAGGATATTTCCTGTGAGGAGGTACACCGGAAAATAGCAATAGAAGAATGATTTTTTAAAGCTTCTTTACAAAATCAGAGTTAGCACATCCAATACTGAAGCTTTTTTTTTTTCTTCAAATGTTCAGAGGACATTATCACCACATATCTAAATATGGTATTTCAAAGAGAACTGTATGTCAAAATCCTATTGCTATTAGAAGGGTTCCATGGTGAACAACAAAGACATAGGAATGTCAGGATTCTGGGTGGTTCCATGGGTAGGGTACATTCAGCAGATTCTTTTTACTTTAGGTTGCAATAGTGTAGTAGATTTATAGTGCAATACACTCAGAATGGATCACTCTATTCCCTGAGAGGCATTGTGCAGTACTTGATAGAGAATTGAATTAAGAGACACAGACCTGCCTTGGGAAGAGTGGGAACAGTATAGTGTTTAGATAAATACACACAGGTATCAAGTCCTGGATTTGTTGTTAACTGGATAGGTGAGAAGGCCAGGCAAATATCAGGCTCATAAAGGCTCAGCTGAAAGCTGGGCCTCCCTAGGCCTCCCTAGGCTTCCCTAGGCCTCACTATACCTCACTTTCTGCTTCTCAAAGCTGAGAACAAAGAGCCATTAATCACTGATGTCCCTAACAGCAGGGGCGAGGAAAACTGCATGTACTCTGGCCTGAAATAGTGACCAAATAAGGACAAAGTCTGAGACTTGTCCAGACCTGCCCCAAAATAGAAAAGCTATAGCCTAAACCAGCCCCAAATGAACCCTAGCCAATTGGAATATGCTAATACAATTGCCACTCACATAAGCTAATCAAATCTAAAATGACCTGACTGCTCTAGGAACTCCTCTTAGTTGTGCATAAAAGGAACCTGCAAGCTTTTCTCAGGGTCATTGCCATTTTGCCTTTGTATGGGAGGGTCGGCCTCAGTATACTGGAATCTTTCTCTTGCTGATTGCATATGAGGATGGTGGTCTTTTGTGGGACTCCTCTAAAACCCTAACAGTAAGAATCCTGGGAAATTCCCAAAATCTGTGAGATGCAGTTGATTTTTCATGTGTAAAATGTGTCATATAGGCATTTTTATCTGGATAGGAGACATAATGTACAAATACATTAAAACACCTGACATAGTAACTGGCATATGGGATATTTACTGTCAGGTGTTTTCTAGTAGTTTCTCCTTCTGTGGAAATTTATTTTATGTTTCTCAGGACATCTCAGGTAAGTCTCAGCTCACTGAGGGAACCTAAATAGAGAATTAGAAAAAAATCTGCCTAGTAACAGTTGTCTCCAAATTATTGGAGAGTTTTCTCTTGCTGAGTATAGTGGGTTCATCTGACATGGCCACCCTGACAGGCTCCCTTTACACTAGAATTCATGTTCCCGAAGACCCCAACCTTCCTACCTAATGTAGTTCAAGTAAGTTTGCCATTTAGTTCCCCTGAGGGCTGGTCCCAGGCACAGACAGACAGCACAGTCCCTTATTCCTGAGCTGTAGACACATGCAGTCATCATGAGAGGTCCATGTCTGGGATCTGGCTCCTTCTGGGACTCTTCCCTTTGCTCACCCTTTAAAGACGGTAACTAGGGTTGTCACATCCCTGAGTATTGAAGACCAGGGAAGGCCAGCTCTATTGGTTTTTAGAGGTACTCTTACCCTGCAAAGAAAAGTCACAAAACATGACAGAATCCACTAACAAGAGTTTTATTAAGATGAGGAGAAAAGGATAGATGTGATCAGGCCTGCTGAAAGGACACATGTGTAAAGGGTGCAGGGGAACATGGGGGCTGGCTTTTAAAGGCCAAGCCGCACCTGCGTATACAGGCCCACGTGGCTATATCACACATGTGCATAGATCACAAGCAC